TAATGCAATATTGAAATTACATCATATTTGTTATTAAAAGAATGGAAACTTATATTACATATTTTCTGAAAAATATGAACTGAGGTTTAAACTTTTAATCTACTTGTCATGTTTTCATTGAGAATAAAAACTTGTGAAGTCAAAGTTGATGAACTTGCACATTGTTTGTTTACCATCCATTCAGGTATTTGGTCATGTGACAATAAGTGGGAATTCCCCGTTCTTTATAAAAAAAAAATCCAAGTTACTGTTACTCAGCAACACAGCTTGCAGTGCTTACATAGATGCAATATTTTTGACTGTGAAATTTATATGCACTTAAAGCCACAATAAATTCCCATAGATTTCTGACTTTCTTCTCAAAAGATCTGGGTTTGTCACCCCCTCCTCCCACCAAAATTGCTTCCTATGGGCCTGGTTATTGTTGATACACATGTATATGTCCCATAATGCTGATATTGAACACACAGACAAAAAGCATACCCCCTCTTCCCCTTTTCCTTCAAGGAATCTGGATCATGAAAATAAACTTTTAAATTGCAATTGCTACATTAAATGGTACACTAACTAGTAAGTATCTAGCAATTCATTTTTTATCATGAATGTGCATTGTAAACAAAGTTTAAAATCACTAGATTATTCATTGTTGAAATGGAAAAAAATCTCTCATGGATTGGTTAAATAATATCTTCTCTGGTATATGTCAATCAACATTCAACAATTTCTTGATTCTAAAAATAATCTATACTTTAATTCATGCAGTAGATATTTTAAGTCTTTCTTAAATTCAAAATTCAATATTTTTTTAAAAATTACATGTAGATTTTTATTTAATTTAGGGAGCAGCTGGAGATAAAGAAACAAATAAGCTTAGATGATGACAAAATAGTTAAAAAGATGCTGTCCAAATCATTCAAAGAGACATTTTACATTGGAGGCATGGACATTTCCTTTATTAAGGGAGACGATATCAATGCCTGTGCTGCTTTGGTTGTCTGCTCTTTTCCTGACTTAGAGGTATGGATCATAAGTAAATGTACAGATGTAGTACAAAATAAGAGCTTCACAGATTTGAAGCATGTTGACATTTGTATGTTATAATGTACTTTTGTGGGCTTAATGATTCAGATTTATTGGGTATAAATTTGAGAATATTACAGTACCTAACAATGCTGAAAATTTATTAAAATCATACTGAAATTGAATGAGTGGTTAGTTTTGTAGACAGTAACTACTGAGTTCTTTGATTTACTTCATTGCACATGCACCTAATGCAGCCATAATATTATGTACAACCTATGTGTTTGAAAAGAGAAAAAAGAAACCTGATGAAAAGAAAATAAATAATATTTTTGTTTGAATGTCAATAGGTTGTGTATGAAGATTATCAGATGGTGAAACTTACACAACCATATATTGCGGGGTTCCTGGCCTTTAGAGAAGTGGAATTCATGGTTCAGTTATATGAGAATGTGAAGGAAAACGAACCTCAGTACACACCACAGGTAAAAAAAATAACAACCAAACCAGCATTTTCAAATGTATGTCATTGAGCTTCAGTATCTGTATCATATTCTTACTGATATGTTGGTAGAGTAGTGTCACAGGGTTATCGTTAAAGAAGATAATGCTGGATTCAGTTCAAGTTTTATGAAGTTTTAATGAGGATAACAAAAGAAACCTAGAAAACATATAAAACACACTCACAACACACACATTAACAAGAGACAAATATGGCACATAAAACAAAGTTACAAATTATACAACATGAAAAATTCACGTCGCTGCCAATCAAGATAATTAATTTATGGATTATCGAAATTGGTTTAATAAGTATTTGCATCATTAGAAATAAATCTTACCAGGTATCCAGTATTATAAAATATCATAGATAATTATCAAAGCATCATGAAACTCAATGACTTCAAAAGTTACATGACGAGTTGGACCTCTTTACACCATAAAGGTAGAATCTAATAGTTATTTTATTTGGCGGGATAAGCGCTTATGTCGTACACGAAGTTAGTATACATGCATATTAATTATCAAGTAGTACGTAGTCTGTCATTGGTCCACTGGTCCTACTTGTATATGTATCTGGTCAGTTAGTAAGCTAAAAATAGAAACATCACTCGACAAAACAAAACATGCACACAGGGCACTCATTTACATAAGCAGCACTTTGTTTAATTAGCAATGTGTGCTAATCAAATATAAATTATTAACAAAATATTTAATTAAATATCAACTGTGACAGTTAGCAATGTAAAATGGTCATTGCTTGTAAGTTATTTACTTTAATTAGATAGTTTGTTTTTTGTTTTGTAGGTGATCATGGTGGATGGAAATGGAATAATGCATCACAGAGGTATTGCCATTATTTCAATGCAACAATGAATCTATAATTACATATTATTACATTGCATTTAAAATTTTGTTGAGATGGTATTTTTGGATTATCATTTTACCCAGGTGCTGGAGCAATTTATATTCTTTAAGTTGGTATTACTTGACTATTATTGTATTCAAGTGTTGGAGAAGCCAGGGAGTTTTTAGTTGGTAATTTGGACTGTTACATTTGTATTAGTTCCCCACTAAACTGGTGGAGAAAATAGGTTACTCTCAATCTGTCTATTTCTCTTTAAAATTCAGTTAGCATGGTCCACTTGATTTTCTGAACTGTTCACCAGAAGCATGAATTAATTCGGCTGATTTTTGGTATAGACTTTAATCTTGATGAGTTACAGATAAAGTTTGTAATTCGATCATCTCTACTATTGTGAGTTTTGACATAATTTGAGCCCATACTCAGTAGAGGACTCTATATTGTTTATGCAAAACTCTTGGAATGCTTGTTAGTCCCCTATCAGTGAAATCAGAGGGCATTCAATGTTTCCTCTCCATCTATTTGTCTCTTTGTTACTGTCCCATTTGGTTTTCTCTGGACTTTTTTTCAATACTTGCAAATATTGAGTTGATTTTTGGCAAGGGAATCCACCTAGAATAGATGAGTTACAGAATAAATTTGCATTTTGTTCTACAATGTGTTTTTGACAGAATTATGGCCTTTAAACTTAGAACCTTAATTTTTAAAGGGGGAACCAGACTACAAATGCCAATAAGGGACAAGTATTGTCTATGTAGTAGTCCCAGAATGCTTATTTTCTTTATGAAGCAGTCTGTAGGATGTTTTATAGTTGCTATTTTTGGACTGTTATTTTATCAATCTTTTGGAGCAGACTGTAGGATATTTAGTTGCTATTTTTGGACCGTTATATTATCAAGCTTTGGGAGTAGCCATTGTTTAGTTGCTATCATTGTCTCTGTTATTTTGTCTTGATCATGTAGGAGAAACCAGTAGGTTGTTTAGTTGCTATTTTTGGACTGTTATTTTTGTCTAGGTGTGGGAGCAGCCTGTCAGCTTGGAGTCCTATTGGATGTACCTTGTCTAGGAGTGGCCAAGAATCTCCTGCAGGTGGATGGAATTGAGAAAAATGAAGAACATGCTGAATTGGTAAAGTATTCCATTAATTGAAATTCTGTTGGTAAATGTAAAATACTTATTCTTCAGAATCCATACCCTTCAAAGAAAATTTATGATAAAAAGAAATGTGCATTTTTAATCATATCTCAAGAATAATTCATTTTGAATATCTAATAACTATTGTTCAGTATATTATGAATATTCATATTCAAGTAAGATTTGATGTAGTTTTAGAAGAATGCCTATATAGAACACATCATCAGTAATGCACCAAGCTAGGGTCTAAATTACAATATTGTTCATTTGCCCTTAGCCAACAAACCCACAAAAATTAGACCTTCTCATAATATTTTATTCCTCCTTTCATTTCTAATTTTTTGATAATTGATAAATTTTGCATGAAGATGTACATGTACCTGAATTTTAAAATGAAAAAATAAATGATCTCTCCTACCTACATGAGCTTACCCTTTGTTAAAATCCTAGGTCAGAAAAGGGGAAAACAAATATTTTTTTTTTAAATTTTGCCTGGTGTTCTGGAAGAATAAATACAATATGTAAAAGAAAAGTATAAACAGAAATTTGTATGTTTTATTTATAATTTACAACATGCTCTATTTTTACTTTACACCATAGATTGCAAATTTGAAGGAAAGTGGAGACAGTTTTCCTCTGGTCGGGATATCAGGAAAATACTATGGAAAGGTGTTTTTTTTTTAAAGATTTATTTTGTTTACCAGTATTTCCTGTACATTTGTGTGACTAATTCTCAACTTTTATTGATGTACACTGTGGTACACATACCTATGGAATATTATTCTCCTGGGATTTAGTAACTGTATATTACGTTTTAAGTTGTTATTATTTTTAAAGACAAAGAAATGCTTAACATATTTAAACAACTACTACTCTGCACTTGATTTTCTCATTGATTTAAGTAACATTAATAAGAAGCTTTTAACACAAGACACTACATTTAATTAATTATTTTATCATATTTTAGAAAAAAAATTGATATTTTATTTACATGATTATTATCATATGAGATGGATAATTTTGAAAAGTCTTTGGTGTTTTCCCTAAGAACAAGCTACCAGTCAAATTAACCATTTCAATTGATAAAAATGTCCCTTAGAAATAAAATTAAAAAAAAAAAGTGTTGTAATGTCCACAAAAATTTTGACAGATCATATACCTCAACCCCTAACCTGTTACAGTTGATCTCTAACCCTTTACTTTAAAATAAAGGGAAAGCACCGAGTCTTAAGATAGTCAGTTTACCCAAATTCAACAACACAACCTATCCCTTATTACTTTTGTTCTTATTATAGGGACTGAAGAGTTGTGAAGGAGCCACTAAACCTATATATGTGTCACCAGGACACAAAATCAGCATTGATTCTGCTGCATTGCTGGTACACCAGTGCTGTAAATTCAGGGTTCCAGAGCCAATTAGAAAGGTAGGAAACCTACAACTGTTGATTTTGGCTAGAAGCAAAGTTGTTTTGTTTAATTAAAGATGTTGAATGCTGAGCTGAGCCAAGGCCTTTGCAGCCATTGATTTGTAATGTTGTGCTCTTTTCTGTCATTGCAGGCTGACCTAAATTCTAGAGAGTATCTACGAATCAATTTTTAAGATGATTCATAATTCCATAACAATTAAAAGTATACAGTATTGGTACCTAGTAGAGTGTATGTTTTTAAGTTTACAATCTATTTAAAATTTCTTTAAAATGTTACCGGATTATGTCTGTTGAGGAGATTGACTCAGATTTGGAATACATGTACAATATTATGTTTATTGTGTTGAATATTTTTAAGCTCACCTGAGCCGAAGGCTCAAGTGAGCTTTTCTGATCAAAATTTGTGTGTTGTCTGTCTGTTGTTACAATTTCATCTTCTTCTCCAGAACCACTGGGCCAATTTCAACCAAACTTGGCACAGAGTATTCTTGGGTGAACGGGATGTAAATTTTTTGGAATGAAGGGCCACACCCTCTTCCAATAGGAGGTGCCGGTAATTAAGAAATAGTGAATATTGGGTTTAGTCATTTAAAAATCTTCTTCTCAAGAACCACTGGGTCAGAAAAGACGAAACTTATGTGAAAGCTTCCAGACATAGTATAGATTCAAGTTTGTTAAAATCATGACCACCTGGAGTTAGGGTGGGGCAACTATGGGCGATCACAGTTTTGCATGGGAATATTTAGGAAAAATATTTTAAAAATTTTCTGCTCAAGAACAGCACAGCCATGATTAGTCATATTGATATGGAAGCATCCTCAGGAGTGTGCATCCATGTTTGTGGAGTTAGAGAAGGGCCACAATAGGCAATCAAAGTTTTACATAGGAGAAATCTTGAAAAATCTTTTTCCCAGGAACAGCAAAGCCATGATTAATCATATTGATCTGGAAGCATCCTAGGGTAGTGTAGATTCAAATTTGTTCAACTCATGAACCCCAGGGGTAGGGTGAGGCCACAATGGGCAAAATTTTACATAGGCGTATGTAGGAAAAATCCTAAAAAATCTTCTCAAGAACAACAAACTGGTGATTAGTCATATTTTTATGGAAGCATCCTCATGTAGTGTAGATTTGAGTTCAAATCATGTCCCCTAAGGTATATAAGAATATTTAGGGAAAAGAATATTCTGATGAAGAACAGAAGGCCATAGTTACTCAGGTGAGCATTATGGCCCATGGGTCTCATTATTCAGTTCACTAAAGTTGCATGTATAATGTGTAACATGTTGCTCAATGGTTTAATTATAATAAGCCAGTTTATGTCATTTTTGTGTACCATTTGTCTCTTATTGTTATGTCTTTTGACAAGGAATTTTATTATCCTTCCATCCATCTGCTTTGATTTTACTAAATGGGGCTGAGTGTTGCATTTAATCAGCCTTGGAATATGTGCCATATCAATAAAAAGCTAAGTAATGCACAAGATCCATAGCATTCAGGCACAATTGACATTAATTAAATATGTGCAGTTTAAATGTCTGAATGAGATTTTACACTCATTGACTTTAATGTTTGAGATGTTATATACATGTATTTTAGTATTTTGTATTTATGTACATGCAATTTATTTGTTTGTTTGTTTGTTTTTTTTACCATTAGGAGACTTACAATTCTGTGATACATAACATCCAGCAAGTCTACATACATATCAAATAAAGAAAAGAGAATTTGTAGTTGTTGTTGTTCCTGCTTTGATCAGGGTCCTACTGTTTGTCTACCATAGATAATACACAGTCACTGTTTATTGTAAGACTGGTTTGTTCAACAAAATTATGCATTTCGTGAAAATGTGTTTCAAAGTATGTTGTGGGGTATTTGGAATTCTATTAACAGATTTAAGAACAATATACATTTTTATGCAGAAGGAAAATAATTGAAATCTGTAAGCACCTTTACTAATGCATATGGTAATCTTACATGTATTTTCCTGCATAAAAAAGTCTTAAAATAATGTTTTGCCTTTTGTCTGACAACAATAATGGTTGAAGTTTTCAAGAAAATACTACATTTTGTGAAGAAAATTATTGATATTTTTAGGACTCTCTTAGAAGTGAGACATAAAGATTTGGACCAAAATTGAACTCTCCAAATTCTTGCATATAAGCAGACCTGTATATATGGTATGTGTTACATTAAATGTGAAGTGGTTCAGTTTAGGTGACATATACCAAAGATCAGTGGACCTTTTCCCCAAAAAATCTTTAGACAACAAAAATTTTCCTTTTCTCCAAAAAGTACCTAAGCTGTAGTAGGTCAAAAAATCTTGTATTAAATTTTCTATTCACAGGCACTTGTTTCATATATGGGGTCACCCCCTTCTTTTTCTTTCGGTTTCCACACAGGTGCTTGTTTCGTATATGGGGTTGCCCCCTTTTTTTCTCAGAAGTGGGTGACCCCATATACAAAACAAGGGTAATAATATCTTTAATAAACAAAGAAATAACAAAGTTGTTAACTTTAATCTTAGTTGTATGATTTTTTTTGAAAGGGACTAAAGCTCAATATCTGCAAGCTCTGAAAGAAAATTCCAGAAAACTTAATATGTTGGAATGGCCAAAAAATAGGGGTTACATAATATGACCTGGCTATTTTTGGGGGGTCAGTATAAAAATAGCCCAATTGATAGGAAATATCCCTGACCTGTATAATAAAGTCATCTTTATCATGATACATAAATTATGCATATGTATGTATGAAGAATGGTACATGTATAAATGTAGGGGAGTACTTTTGTTGCTAAACCTTTCCAATGATACTTGCATGGCATGTATCTATGCAAAATAAGCAAAAGAGATTTTTAACATTTATTGTTATAACAAATACATTGTATTCTCAATTTAACATTCTATCAGAAAATGTCATTAAAGCATCAATTTTAGTGCTGTAAACCCTGTTTCATTAAAAGGGACAGTTCATGTCGTGAAATATTGTGAATAACTATATCTACATGTAACACATTTAAAAGCTGTTTCTTCTACAGGAAACACAATCATGTAAATGCTTATTGTTGTGAACTGAATTAAAAGCATTTTGAATACATTTTAAAGAAAAAAAGTCGCAGGTTTTATTAATTCATTCTCATTAGCACTACATGTATTTTGAAAATTTAAGTGACATTATTTTACAAATTGTCAACAATCTAGAAAACGTAAAAAAAGTTAAATTTATTTCATATTTCCATAATTACAGTACTGAAATGAAAAAAAAATTGGGGATACCAACATTAAAGTGATCTTACACAGAGAAAATGTGGAGAAATAATATACTGAACAACAGGTCTTTGTGAATCTAACTTCAAGAAAAATTTCATTACAAAAATTAAGACATTTAAAATTCTAATTTAACCACAGCAGTTCATCAAGGAAATCTACACATCAATACAATGTAAACACACAGAATAACAAAAACCTGAGTACAAATGTACACATAGTATGTATATGTATGTGTATGAGTCATTCTTCACACACATATATTCATACACAAAGACATTTATTCTTTGATGACAGTGTCTTGTAAAAAAGATTTTAACTCAATCTGAATTATCTTTAAGTTCATCAATATTCAGGACAACTTATTGTTGATAATTTTTCAAAGATATAAATATACATGTAAGGTATAGAAATACATAAGAGACTGTGTGTCAGTATAAAATTTCTTATTAAAGAAAATTTATTGATAAAACACAATGTTTAATTCAACCATAGATAACGTCAATAAGTAAATTCCTCATTTACTGTATAACTATTGTCTCTTCTAAAAGCAAAAAAAAAAATCTTAGAAATTTCTTTTCATCTTGGAAAAAAAAATTCTGAGAAACTTCTCATTTGGTACTAATGTAAGTAGACAGCGGCAGTTATGAAATCTTTTAAGTGATTGTAACAGATAACATACAGTAAGGTCTTAATTGTTATTTTTACACATTATGAAGGGTGGGGAAATTAATTTTCCCCCAAATGAGTGAAAATGTATAGTTTCTGGAATTTTGTATCAAATGATACAAAATGCTTATTGCAGCAGACAGCTAGATAATAAAAGTGATTATCCTCTTTCTTATAAGAGACATATAGGAATGGTCCATCAAACCCTCTCTAGTGATGGTAGAGAGTTATTGATTATGCTTGTTCATATATGGCTCTGGTTAAGCCATGTTATATCCACCATTTTCATGTGAACCATATGTTCTCCCTACAAAATGGAAAAAAAAACCCATACTGGTAACTATAACAAGAGGCCCAGGGGCCACATCGCTCACCTGAGCACTATGGCTAGGAAAATGCAGAAATCAGTTCAGTCTTGAAAGGTTGAAAAGTTTAAATAAAAAAGTGGTTCGGGGGGGGGGGGGGGGGTGTCATGAATTGAACAAATTTGAATCTACATTATCTGAGGATGCTTCCATTTTAATATGACCAATCATGGCTTTGCTGTTCTTGAGTAGAAGATTTTTAAAGATTTAACCTATGTATTCCTATGTAAAACTTTGATCGCCCATTGTGGCCCCATCCGACCCCCGGGGGTCATGATTTGAACAAACTTGAATCTACACTATCTGAGGATGCTACCATATAAATATGACCAATCATGGGTTTGCTGTTCTTGAGAAGAAGATTTTTAAAGATTATTCCTATATATTCCTATGTAAAACTTTGATCGCCCATTGTGGCCCCACCCGACCCCCGGGGTTCATGATTTGAACAAACTTGAATCTACACTACCTGAGGATGCTTCCACATAAGTTTCATATTTTCAAGCACAGTGGTTCTTCAGAAGAAGATTTTTTAATGATGCCATTAATTTTTCACAAATTCTTAATTATCTCCCCTTGGAAGAAGGCGTGGCCCTTCATTTGAACAAACTTGAATCCCCTTTACCCAAGGATACTTTGTGGCAAGTTTGGTTGAAATTGGCCCAGTGGTTCTTGAGAAGAAGATGAAAATGTGAAAAGTTTACAACAACAACGACTACAACGACGACAGACAACGGACAAATTTTGATCAGAAAAGCTCACTTGAGCCTTTGGCTCAGGTGAGCTAAAAAACAAAACAAAACAAAATGTCCTTCACTTTCGAGAAAAAATTCTCATATTTCCTTTTTTTTTGAAAGTCAATTCATTTCAAAATAAGTTCTGTAAAACAACAATCTACAAATATCTCCAAATGATCCTGATGCATGTACTCTCATAAAATAATATTTTAAACATGTATGAGTAATAGTCGAGAATGACTACTATGCTTTATCAACAAGAATGAACTTTATGAACAGACAGGCAAATGCACACTGTGGGAAAGAAGAAGCAGTATAAAAGGGGCTGCAAGATTTTTATTGTGTTTATGATTTCATACAGCAGTTTTGTTTTGTTTGCCCTTATACATGTATGATTCTTGATTCACTTCCGCCAAAGGCTCAAGTGAGCTTTCCTGACCAAAGGGTGTCCAGCATCCTTCTCTCAACATCTGTAAACTTTTCACATTTTCAGTGTCTGCTCCAGAACCACAGGGCCAATTATAAACAAACTTGCTACAAAGTATCCTTGAGTGGAGGATTCAAGTTTCTTCAGATGAAGGATGCAACCATCATCAAGTATTGCAGATTCAATTTTGTTCAAATCATGGACACTGGGGAAGGGTGTGGCCAAATTAGGGAATCAAAGTTTTATATGGGATTAGATAGAAAAAAATATTTTAAAAATTTTAAGATCAGCAGGGTGATGGTTGCTTTTATCAATATGCAAGCATCCTTAAGTAAAACAGATTCAGATTTTTCAAAATCTTTTTTCGAAGAACATGTGAGTAAAGGTTACTCAGGTGAGCATTGTGGCCCATGGGGCTCTTGTCTTCAGTTCTGAAGAAAATCATTAAAATCTTCAACTAAATTGCAAGAAATTCCACTTATACAGTGCTATATAATCAAATACTTTCCTTTTCAAATAGAACAAGAGGCCCAGGAACCACAATGCTCACCTGCATAACTGGCCCTTCTGTTCTTCATCAGCAGATTCTTTTTCCTACATATTCTTCTGTAAAACTTTGATTACTTTTTAAGGTCCCATCCTACCCCCAGGGGATCATGATTTGAACAAACTTCAATCTTTACTACCTGAGGATGATTCCATGTAAATATGAATGATCATGACTTTGCTGTTCTTGAGAAGATTTTTAAAGATATTTCCTTTATATTCCTATGTAACAGTGATAGGGTCAAATACATAGGAAAGTAATTAAATTACAATTACTTGCCCAAAAACATAGAATGTAAATCTTTTAATCCCCTGTTTTGGTCCCACCCCACCTCCAAGGGTCATGATTTGAACAATCTTGAATCTACATTTCCTGAGGATACTTTTGTAATTATATGACTAATCATGGCTTTGCTGTTCTTGAAGAGAATTTTTATAAAAATATTTTTCCTAAATATTCCTATGTAAAACTTTTATCCCCTGTTGTGGCCCTGTCACACCCTGGGGAGCCAAACTTTAAAAAAAAATTGAATTGAAACTACCTGAGGATGCTTCTGTTTCAATATGACTAAAAATGGCTAAGCTGTGCTTAGAATAATTTTTAAAGATTTTTCCTATACGTTTCTATGTAAAACTTCGATTCCCTGTTGTGTTTCTGCCCTACCCCTAGGGGTCATGATTTGAACAAATTTGAATCTTAACTTTCTGGGGATGCTTCTATATTGATATATAGGAAATATACATGTACATGTACTCCTATGTAAAACTTTAACCCCCTCTTTTGGCCCTGTCCTACATCAGGGGTCATGATGTGAACAAATCTGAATCTACAGTATGTAATAAAGTTCTCACATAAGTTTTATCTTTCTGGCCCAGTAATTCTTGGGAAGACAGTTTTCAAAAGATGCCACCAAATTTTCATGAATTCTTAATCATCTTCCCTTGTAAGAGGGTGTTGCCCTTCATTTGAACAAACTTGAATCCCCTTCATCCAAGGATACTCTGTGCCAAGTTTGGTTAAAATTGGCCTCAGTGGTTCTAGAGAAGAAGAAGAAATTGTAAAAAGTTTACGACGCCAACAACGATAGACAATGGACAAATTTTGATTTGAAATGCTCACTTGAGCCTTCGGCTCAGGTGAGCTAAAAAAGAAGACATTCATGACTTGAAATTAATTTCCATTGTTACAAAATATATATTTGGATACAGGGATCAAGAGAAAGTGCCACAAAAGACATGCCTGAAGAATTCTTAATCTGATGTGAGTATTACAAAAGTTATATAACATTTTTAGTAATGTGAGTGAGGGCACAGAATATAAAATAAATATCAGTTGTCTGGATATAGAGTTCATTCATCTGATACATAAAGAGGACATAAAATTCACATCATTGAACTCTACTTTTTAAATACATGCACTATGCAATAGAAGATCATGCAGATACAATGTATATTTAAAAGAAAAAAAATCAAGATGATAATAGCACATGTATCTCCATCCACTCTCTAAAATGATTAAAACAAGCATAATTAAGGGACTATTGCATGCAATATTTAGCATAAAAAAGCACCTACAGTCCATGTTTATGGTCATTCCTGAACATTGATCAAATGTTGCTGACTTGACCCAGAAAACATAGTACCTAAAACCAAAATGAACTCATCCAGTAACCACAGCTTTCAAAAGTGACCACTTACTCTGATTTTTTTGTTTTACAAGTATTTCACTACAAAAATTGTAGGAAAATAAGATTTTATTGAATTAAAAAAAAAAGTTGCAGGTAACCAATTGTATGATAAAACTGCTAAAATTTCTGTTTTTATAGTTTTCAGGTAATATACTGTGATTATTTACATTTTAATATGGATCCATTTAACATTCATGAAAGGGACCCACTTAGCCCCTAAATTTTAAACTTAGCTGCAACCCTGCATAGGTTATCAACCAATCTAATACATATACTAATATTATTTAGAGTTAATTTAGAGATTGACCTACATATGTAACATACCCATACCCAATACAAACTTAGTCTTATATTTACCTTCGACATGTTCAAAGGTTTTAAATATAAAATACTTTGTTTTCCAAATCCTAAAAAAAATTAGGGGGTAGGTGGGTCAGTCATTTTGTTAATAAAAATTTCTCAGTTATTTTTATGGTGTGCACTGCAAACACGAGAATCTAAATTTCAGGTCATTTACCTCCCCCATCTGATTCCCCCTCCTCCATCCACCGTTGTCGGTCTGCCAGAAGACCATCAGAGTCTAGATCTATTGTACGAGTAGGATATGACACACCATCACCAGCACTGTAAATACAGACCAAAAATATGGTGAATGTCAGACAATGTTATTCTAGGGGCATGCTTCACATTTTTACAATGACTCATCATTAAAAGTAACTGCAATGTGTTTTAATTTATAATGCAATTCAGGATAAAATTTTTTAAATGATTTCTTTGATTTTAATTGTCTTTATCAATTGATTAAAGTACAGTGTACATGGGTGTCCCTTCCACACCTAAACTTAATTATTATAGCTGTATCACTGAATACTGTATATTTTTTGCAACTTGTGAAAAAATGAGAGGGCTACATAAAAGCTAAATAAGCTTAGTTTATCTCTGATACACACAAGCATACATGTATCATTTGTTTACTAACCCTAAATTTTTACTCATGTAAGAAGCAACATACCAATATCATAGCTGTATATACTGTATGTATACATGTACATTTATAGAATTTGTAATTGGATGCTTTGACACAGAGATACCCTAAAATTCTTTGGAGTTATTTTTTTCTTCTTCTTAATCTAAGGAAGAATGTAAATGACTGCAAAGAAACCAATCATGACAGTATAGCCATCTACTTGTAAAAAAAAAAAATAAATAAAAAAAAAAAGATATAAAAATATAGGTCTCTAATTTATACACATAATATTTTCAGCTAATTTCTCAAATCTATATGTGCATCTAAGAATTCCTTGTTTCATTATTCATTAAGAGGAAATCTACTAAAAGCATACACATCTATTCCGTGCAGCATATGTACAATATAAAAAGATGAAAGCATGCCACCTAGCTACAAAAAAATAGTTAAAACACACAAAAAGAAAAAAAAAGATCACAAAAGAACTAAAGTTGTTACTTGCTGAATTTGGTATTTACTGAATATATATTTTACATAAAAAATGTAAAAAAAAAAAATAAATAAATTTCCACAGCCAAAATATCAATACAATGTAAAACAGAGACAGAGAAGAGAAATTCTGGATGACTGCTGATTATAATATAACTGTTAAATGTTATCATACATTACAATACCCAACACTGTAAGCATGCATGATATCTAACCTGGGCGTGGGTGTTTCCCCCATAGTTTGGTATGAATTGTTACTGTTAGCCTGAAGATTGTTTCGTGTGGGAAAGGACACCCCATCAGAACCACTGAAGTAACAGTATAAACACAGTCAGGTATACAGAGAAAGACAAAAAAAGTACATTAACATTTCATTCTACCAAAGATGACAAACAGTCATATAAAAAAAGAAATATATTGCAGTTCATACATGTATTTTTACCCCATGACAAAAGGCAAAAAACTTTTGAGAAAGAGAAGGGAAATGAAAGAAAAGTGAGCTCCTCTAACTTGCAACTTAGAAAAAAATTGACTCTTCTTTCAAAAAAAAAAAATAAATAAATAAATATATAAAATAAAACTCTGCACCCAGGAAAATTTTACAATTTTTAATAGATTAAATCAAGGACAATTACCCATTTAATTAACTTACTAAATAAAATGACATTTTCAAGGGGAACAACTCTTAGATTCAAAACTACTATACAAATTCAAGCTGTCGCCTAAGTTTAAAAAAATGGACAAATACCTTGTAAATATTGGTAAAAACCATGATTTTTTATCTACACCAAAAATTTCTGTGAAGTTGTTATAATTTCCCAGACTGAATCCATTTTTATCTGGTCCACTCTGAAATATGGGAGCTCTAAAGGATTCTGTAATTAAACATTAGAATGAACAGACTCAATGTCATACTGTCAAAAATATTTGTAAAATTTTAACATTATCTCACAGTTTTCTTCACAGAGTGTATGCAACACAAAGTATGCACAAAAGACTCTAAACTTTGAAACTGATGTCTGTTTACCACTATGTACCGGTATATGGTGTACCAGATTTGATATCTTACCTAGAGTAGATCTATTGCTGGCTGTTAAATAACAGTGGTAGCCAAACAAGGATATGAGACTTATACCAAACATCACAGCCACAAAGAACAAAAATAATATATGGAAATGACCCATTTCTTTGGAAACTCCACTCTGAAATCAACCAAAAAAATTTAGTTTCACTTTAATTACTTTAAGAGTTAAACTCATAATCCCATTTTAACTATAAAATCAGTCAAGATATAGCTGAAATAATATTAATGATTTTTGCAGTATAAACATACCTTCCAGAATAATATGAAATACTGTAAACTAGTTGCAGCAATGTAGAGGCAATACAGTAATCCATATCCCAGAAATAATACAAAATACTTGTAGTTAGAGAAGCCTACACAATTATTGACCCTGTAAAGATTCACACAATATAAATATTTAACAAACATAATACTGATAAAAAAAAATTCTAAAAAAAAACAAGTCCAAATTATAAATGTTATAGTCAGGAAGTCGTCTTATATGTACCAAATAAATCTGACAATAAACGTGAATGAACAACTGTTATTTTCTGTTGATTTCTGCAGGAATTTGTAATTCTCTACATTAATTTTATGTATATACACCTAAAGTCACATATGTAGTGTTCTTACCATGGACAGTGATGGTCCATCTTTAACACACATCTACAAAAAAATCAAAAGTAAACTCAACGACATCAGCATTCAAGTTAAGTATTCCCGCTGTTTTACAACTTCTGGATATATACATATCTGAATCCATGTGGCCATGATTAGAATATTCTTGAATGTTAACTTAATAAGAAACCCTTCTTTATATATTCTTTTTTCATAGCCCTGTAGATTTTTAATAATTATAGTTTCACATTACTTTTACTATTTCTTGTTTCCCCTTAAAAAAGTATGGCTTTTCATTTAATTAAACAAACTTATATTTCCTTCTTATGCCAAGTTGGCACACTCTTACCTAGCAATGAAATCTGACAATGAGGGTGATGTTACTATTATATTTACTACATGATAAGAATGCAATTAGAAATATTGTTGATGTGTCACTTACTGGCCACATACAGAACAGTGATGACACCTGTCTGGCTTTATACAGCGACACTTTTCACAGTACCTTGGACCTGCAAATTAATCAAATGTGTGTACGTCTTCTTCAGAGGCTCAATAGCCCTTTGGCAGTGCAGAGATGTTATTTGTTTTATTTACTGATATACACATATTATCACTGCATTATAAGAACAGCTGCATAATGTACTTACTGCCTGAATGTGTTCTATTCAGGACAGGTAACTCTTTGGCAGCATTAATTAAAATAGCTTTCTGGCCCTCCTCTGACTCCCTGGCCATTCTTTCAGCATCTGATTTAGATAGGTAGAACTGCAAAATACAATTAATCAAAAATTGGGAGAATAAGGCCTTAGTCATTTTCAATATGAAAACAATACTAATGTATATTTGAAATAAAACTCAACCACTTACAAAACTTTAATACAAGTAATTCTGTTTTTTTTTTCAATACAGTTACATGTAATAACTTATGGTACATTTTTTTAACTCTTAATGTAAGTACATGCAGTTCACATTGCCGAAGTAACCCTTTTAATGTATACTTACCAGTTTATGCAAAGCTTCTTTAAGATAAAATACTTGTATCCCATTAAATCATTAAAATGATCTATTTACGAATATACATGTATTTGTAATCTTTAAAGTCTTCTAGACCATGCTTTAATTCTCACCTGGTTAGGAACTGATCCTACTGGAGTAAATATAGTTTTTCCATATGACCACAAAAACAAAACAAGTATAGGGTGGTATATCAACAGATATATAACTGAAAAAGAGAAAATTGCAGATATAAAGACACTAAAAGAATTCAACCCTCAAACAAGTTAAATGTATCAGAACTTTATTAATACCACTTGTTCATCAATTAAATAAATACATCCTTGTGATATCATACAGCATCTGATTAAAAGTTTACATCAATTAATATTTTCCTTATATATAAACATACATGCACCTTAAATTAGCCCAGTAAAGGGATAAATCTAATCATATATATTGCTGATTCAATCAATATCGATTTATATGTTGAGAAATATTTTTAAAAGTTAATTACAAAATTACCATGACCTTAACATTTGAATTGCTATGAATCTAATAGTCATCCATGCTGTCATAAAACACATAAAAAAGACCACAGAAACTTGAATTTCATTAAAAACTTTTCTTTGCTTTTATACATGCATAAGCATGAGTTTCAAAAGAAAAAAAATATCTTGAAGATTGTCTCTATATATACATATCCCTGAAAACGAAATGTTGTATATAAGTAACCTTACCTTTCTCTGCTATATTAGGCACAGTGACTGAAATAAAAATAAAATTGGCTTTAACAAAATCATCTAATAATATAAACTATGAAATATATAGATCTGAAACAAATGTTCGAATATTCATGAATGAATCGTAAAGAGCGAATATTCCAATGGAATTTAGTAGTCGAATATTCTGTCCCATGATTTATTCTACAATGTTTTCTTTGTTGATAAAATCATATTGGTACTTTAATAATTAAAACTTATAGTATTAATAAGGATTTAGAGCTTAACTTTATCCTATCGATGCTCCAAAAACTGTTGATTCCCTCTCGGGATTTTATTACTGTTAGAGAGGACCGAAAATATGATTAGAAATTTAAACAAAGAATGCAAATAATTTTTCTCTGTGTAAATCCCTTTGAATAATACACTGATCAAGATGTTTCATTTTCATATGGAGTCTTATTCACGTCCGCCAATTTCATCACTGATCGTAGGCATTTCTACATGTTCTATGTGTTTTTCTATCATGGGTTTCACTAAATCATGCAAATGTGTTTTCTTTTAAAAAGAAATAATCCTAAAATCTAATTATTGACTTTAATTTTTTTTGAAACACGTTTATTTACAGACTGATCTCTGAAACGAAAATGTCATTATACATTTTTAGTATCATGATCAGTTATGTGTAACCTGAATACTCCAATAACATGGACTTTCGCTTTTCTACAGCATGTGTCATTCTTACTATCAAAATGTGAAGAATTTTCTGTATTTTCCATGCAGAGAATTTTATAAATTGTAGCAAGATAGTTTCCTATATAAGTACAGAAATTCACACATTTTTCTAACACATTTTTGGCAAATTTCCAACAATAAAATAATTAAGGTATATATTTTAAATAAGGCGAGATCCATGCCACCGAAAAAAATATTGTCATACCTTCTGAAAAAGTTTCTTTCAGCTTGTTTCTCAAAAAATTTTACTTACAGAAAGATTTAAATTCGATACAAATTATAGTGTGTAGATTTTTATCTTTAAAATACTTTTGAAAATGATATTGACATGGGTTTTATTTTCTCAAATACGACATTGACAATAATTTCATACATAAAAAGAAGACATTAAAATCTCTTTGTAAATGTTCAGTTTTCCATTTGCTTTGAGAAAAAGCTGCATGCTTACCTTAAACAAGGACAGTTTAACGTCAAGTAATTATATTGATATAAATTAATATTATATACGTATATATACAAAATCAAAGATGGTCTCCAAATGGTTTAGGTATTACCAGGGACCTATATACTAACGGGATAGGCAACTCCTTCAGTGCCATGCTTATTTACCCAAAACGGCACACACAACACTGCAAGTTTTTCAAACTACGTTTTTTCCCAGTAAAAAGCTTGTTTTCTGATTAATGTAATCTGTTCTTTTTGTGTATCAGAATGGATATTTAATAAATTTTAAAGCACATATTATAAAATAAATTAGATATTAAGTAAACAACTACCAAAATCGGCGATTTCGCGGAAATACGGCCAATCAGGGGCACGTACTGATTTTTAAATAAACATAATTACTACTAAGATAAGGAATAAAAACAGTGCTAATAACAAATTTTGAATAATTTTCTGATAGATAAATTAAGATTTTATTCTGAAATATTTGATAGCAAAAGAAATATATTTAATTAAAAGTGACTGACGAAATCCTGCAACTTACGAGCTATTGCGAGACTTGCCTATCCCGTTAGTATATAGGTCCCTGGTATTACGTGTACAATTTTAGAATGATATATTTTAAATATAACATCAACGAATAACATCAAATACAAATAGAATAGTAGTCCCAAATATTCAAATATTGAGTTTTGGTATTCGTTTCAGCTCTAGAAATACACAGATAGTACAGTAATCAGAAATGTTATAACATGCTTTCAATGTTGCTGGAAATAGCAGGCATGCCCATCTATTAAATATTTACATTATTATGTTCTATATACTATCACTTTCCTTGAGCATACTTTTATGTCAAAAATTAGTTTACAAGGAATGTATCACATTGTCATTTGAACATTAATTATCACAGAGAGTATAGATTTATAACTGTAGTAAGAGAATAATGTTTGGACTTAAATCTTGTCTTTGATATCATTAATTTTGTTTCCTTTGTCTAGGAAATACATAAAATATTGAAAAAAATAACTCCTGACGTTAGGTGTTTAACAAAACTTTTTAAACTTGTAAGTCTCCATGAAAATCAATAATTTTGTCACAAATCATCTGTGTGTCGTTAACTGACTGCTGCTTGATATATAAACCACTGGTGAAATTTACAGTATATACTTACAAATACACATTTGGACAACATATGCGTAGTAAGACCAAGCTATTATGGCTGAAATAAAAACAACAGGAAACCATCTTACAATATCACAACAAACTGTCAGTGCTCTTGGTGCCATTTTTACATAAATAATCTTCCGGACATGAATGTGTTGTACGTCATCAGAACATGTGTTAATTAAAAAATGTGCTATTTCACGAATATTAATCGACACCGTGTATCCAGTTCCGTATAAAATGGTATATTATGTGATTCGTTTATCAATAAAATAAAGATAAATATATATAAAAATGATTAAAAAAAAAATTCGGAATATCTCAAGATTGTACCTAGCCCTCTGATATTCTGTTGGTGCTATAGAAATTACCCAAGATATTCCGAATGCCGGGCAACTGTTGTAAACAAGATGGATGGTGTTACCCTGTGTTGGCAGGTGGCAAGAGGGATAAATTCACATTAAGCTTCCGGATATCAAAGGCCGAAATATAGGCTGGAAAGGATAGTACAAATGAATAGAGACTAAGTGACTTTTTATAAGGAATTACAGTTAATATGGTTTACGAAAGCAGAAAGAATACTTCGCCATCGAAGTTACTGGCAGTTGATCCATATAAAAAGAATGCCTATTCCCAGAGTAAGAATTTTTCTAAATGTTCAGTTGATTTACGTTTCCTGTAAAGTTGAAAAATGTTCTATAGATTTGGCTGGAGTTTGGTTTGTTTAATGTGCAGTTTACAGATATCATCAAATATTTAACAATCATTTAAATTATTTCCATTCATATGTAGTGGTAGGGCATAAAAATGTATATATTGTATAAGAAATTCATGGTAAATGATTGATTTCATTTCATTAGGCAAATCAGGTAAGGCATGCATGCTTATTTTATATTTCATTCTTTGTATTGTACATGTATATATGATAATGAGAATTAATATTTAATAGACTGCCTGGAGTGTGCATGTTCCTTGTATGTGTGGACAGCATGTCAAATCTTAGCATTTGAGATTCAGTTATAAAACATGACATGCAGAGTGTCATTTAATAATTATACTGTTGTATTAATGAAGTAAATAACATAATTTAAATCAGTTGAATCAGGATCACTTGTGACATTGAACAGCAATTAAATCTTTAAACTTTTGATGGTTAACAAGATATCATAATTTGCACAGTTGGGTGTCCTGAATAGTGCTTTGTTTATTTTGTTAATTTGATTATATATTCAAGATGGTGCATGCAGTGCATAGAGGTTGTATGTTCACATATTTTGTATATCAATATAAATTATTATATCTAATATATACAAGTATAATTATGTATAGTGCATGATCACTGTAACTATACAATGAAATAATGATATTTTTGAATGTATTAGAAGATTGGTCTACTAAATTTATTTTTGATATATTATGATATACTTGAATATCAGGCCAAAACTTGACAAACATTAATCAGATTTCTAATAAATAAATGTATCAATTATCGTAATCGAGTGAACTTAACATGCATAAAGTAATAAAATAAATTAGCTAACAATTAACAAACAACAATCTATAATGAAAGTAATATTCCTGAATTAACTGTGCAGTATTTAAGAATATAGTACCAACATGCTTATATATTTCTACAGAATGAATGTTAAAATCATGAAGAATAGAGTATTAAATGTATTGCTAAATCTACTAAGAAGTCCAATTCAAGTAAAACACAAACATTTCATCTTCTGAATTTCAAAAATTCACTCTAAAGTTTTGGGTTCTCTAGATACTAAAAATAATAAAAAGTAGTCATCTGTGTGCATGCATGCAGTCATAAATGTTTTAAGGAAGTGCAGTGACTGTATTTATAAATTTGATCCTAATCCACTGCATTATGGAGAGCCCTAATTCAATAGACTTATGGTGCTGAGTTTTAAAGCATATTTAAGGCAGGATTTTTCTGTCGGTGTTAGGGAGGATAATGTCCATGTTTATTTTTTCTTGTGAAATATTGATTAGCATGACTAATCAGACCCTCAGGTAAATTTCTTTTATCTCAACAGGTAGCAAAAGATTCACACAGCATTGGCATCAACTTAATATATCTCATTCTGACATTTTATTATCACTAAAGATTTCCTGCAGGTCATTGCAATTTTTTTTTAAGAAATCATTTACAGTTGTCACTGATATAAATCCTTAACAAGCACATTTTATCTTTGAAGCAAACACACTTCACAAGATATTTTGTGTACAATTCATGAAAAAAAAAATCACAAACTCTAAATAACAAAGTAGCACAATTAGTAATATAGCATTTGTTCCCTCAGCTAAGCAATGTTTTGACATGTTTGTAAGGAAAATATATATATGGCATATTTGATTGATATGATAATCTTGTCTAACTAACAAACACTCATTTAATATATTTTCTCCCACAGTGAAAGGCCTTTTGGATGAATTAGAAATTCATTACTTTCTATACATAGTAACCAAACATTGTATCAGTAGTTTGATAAACTCTCTTTGTCAAACTGCATGGACTGTACATAATTTATCCATTAATCAGAGAGTTGTTTAAACAAGACTTAACTGAACAAGTTCATGATGATACTCACAAAAATATATGAACTTGGTGTTTGCTTAATTATGGTTTTGGTTTCTCTGAATTGATCATTTTCAATCAAAATAAAAATTACATGCATATTTTTTAACTGATATATGGAATTGGTATAGGTTTTTTTTCCTCATGTTATTCTGTGATCGTATGTTTTCAGTCCTATTCAAAGAGTGGGCAGTAAAATGATCAATATGTATGCATGCATTGTTTGGTGAATGATACAAAGAGTTCTCTAGTGACTGAATTTTTTTCAGCCCAACTACAATTTGTGCAATAAAATCCTAGAGTTCCTTCAATTGTATACCAATTATTATGTCTAGAACAACTTTAACTGTGTTTGATTTTCAGATAAGCTAGGTTAAAAAGATTATTTACCATAAAATATTGACAAGTAAGAATGTTCAAATAAACCCTCTCATTCTTTACCAGAGCAAAAGGAAAATTTAAAGGGGAAACTAGATCCTCAATCAATATGAGCATAACATTTTATTCTAAGTTCTGTATATTTTTCTTTTTAATATTGCACAATGTTTTCTTTGAATCATTTCCCTTAGAACATCCCTATTGACATATTAAAAAAAATGTTTGAGTCTCTTAAATATTATTTCCTTTCATGTACAGTCAAACCTTGTTATCTCAAACTCGATGGGGCCTAGAAAAAAAAAACTTTGAGGTATCCAAGCCTGGTTTGAGATATTGAGGGTAAAATACTTATTAAGAAAAAGTGCTTGGGACTTCCAGATCACTTCAGTATTTAATTGGTATTTGAGATATCCATGTCTGAGTTTCCGAAGTTTAGCTGTATTTAAGGAATATCTAAAAGTTACCCAAGTTATCTGAGTATAACCTGGGTTGTGAGTCCCATCTGGGACTGTTTACACTTAATATATGAACCATGAAGCAGTTTGTGAAAAAGCAAAGACAGTTCTTCCAAGCCTTGTCAGTATACCCCAGTAACTTGGGTAGCTAAAAATGCATTCCTAATCATTTTACTTTTTATCATTCAAAAATAAGATGATTTGGTCCCTGAAATGGCTTTAAAATGAACAAAATTAAAATATTACTGTCAGATGGATTGATACTTTTTTATGCAAGTCATACTGTGATGCAACCCAATTATGTTATAAGCTAATATCTTATTCAATGAAATAGCACATTGCAACAGAATTAAAATATAATAATTTTGTTGGAAATATTATATAGGTCACATTTATGCAAGGATTTAAAAGGATTAAGTGTTTGCAAATTGTTCATATATTTCTTTAAAAGATACATTGTAAATGTTCTTAACTCAGCTGAGCCAAATTATAAGGCTCAAGTGAGCTGGGTTTTCTGATTGAAGGAATAAACTGTCTGCATGCCACTGGATGTAAACTTTTCACAATTTCAACTTAAAACTCTGCTCCAGAACAATTTTAATAAAACTTGCCACAAATTGGCACCGATGCAGCAGCAATTGATTTACAAATATTCTCAATATTTCCAGAGTATACAATTTATTAAGATTAAACATATTACAATTTTTAATCTATAAGCTTTAATGTTGTATAGATGTGACCTTTGATATCCGTCACCTGGACAAAACCCCTGCTATAGAAAATGTAGTGGTCAGCACATCAGAGGATGACTATAACCCAGAGGTCAGCGCCAAGAAAACGCAAGCTAAGGACTGGGAGCTGGATGTCCGAGCCCTCATCTCCTCCAAAAAATGGCTACAGAATTATGGTCTGAAGAAAAACCGCCTGACCTTCTACCAGATTCTACCTGTGATTGGATTCAAACACAGTGATGGTAAATGTTCAATAATTCATATTTTAATGGCATATCATTTATTCATTGGAGTGTTCAGCAGATGTTTGGGACAATAAATGTCAAATCATAATCTTGACTAGTGTGTATAAAGCTAATGAAAAATTCAGACTATATAGCTGCTATTTCAAATTTACAAAGTAATGATTTGGGCTATCTTATTTCTAAGTTTTCATCTAGATTGAAAAAGCAAATTTTATACATTTTCACATCACCAATATCGCAAGTCTAGTTTGTGTTAACAAATGAATTGATTTTTTGGGGGAAACTCAATACCTTTCATTCAATATTTACCAGAACCATGCAAATATTTGAATTGATACTTTAATTAGATGTAATTGTGTAGTATATAAAAGGGTCATTCAATTTCAGAAAGATCAGGGAGATTGCATGATTATTTTTAACAGTATTGGTGACTGAAGAAAAGAATAATTGTACTGCAGTGTACATGGCATTTTACTGTTATCTGTAATAATTCTGGGAAACGTTAATTTTCAATTTCAGCATATGAATAAAATTTGGTAACATGCATGTCATGCAAGAAATTGTCCTGAATAATTAAGATATAAATATTTCAATTTCGGTTATGTGAATTGCGAATTTATGGTATAGAGAAAAATGAGGTTTGCCACCATAATTTCTTTTATGAATTATCCATCTAGAAAAAGGGATCACATTGTGAATCAATCTTTTCTTAAGCAGATTTCATACTACATAGTATTTCTCAAAAGTTTGAATGGATGTCACCCGTGATGAGTTCACAACTTTATCAGTAGTTCTCTCTGTTTTTGTCCTTGACTTTTCATGCACCTTTTCATAAAGATATCTAATAATGCAATAGTATGGTATAAACAGTTCAAATTTAGGTACTCTTTAAATTGTGTTGTTTATACATATCTGACACTCTCATGACCATTGATCTCTTGTTTCAATAAGCTTCTCCGGCTAATGGTCTAATGGTCATCTTAAAATTGTGTCAACAATACAAAGATCAGTAAAAGCAATAATTACAGTAAAATATGGTTACAGAAAACACACTTGTAATGAATTAATTCACACTTTGATCATGTATGCATTCTGTTGAATTCTTTCAGACTTTGACAGAATTCTCAAAAGACCAGTATCATCCCGATATGGAACAGGACTATTCAGCACATTGTTTCATCCAGGAGAAGGAAAAACATTCAATGTAATTATACTTCTTAAATTATTTTTGGTATCCGCATTATTGTTTTCCCTTTATTTCAAAGTAAAGGGTATGAGATCAATTGTAACAGGCTAGGAGTTGAGGTTTATGAACAGAATCTCTGTGGACCTTATAACAATTATTTTTTAATTAAGTTTTTGATTTCTAAGCAGCATTTTTATCAACTGCAGTGGTCAGTTTGGCTAGTTAAGCCGGTTCCTAGGGAAAACACTGTTTGCTGAATGTTTTCTAAATAGTAAATAAAAATTAACCTATTTCTTATAAAGCAAAGTCTTATTTCTTAGCTAAAAAAGGTCAAGAGGTGTCTGACAGGTGTAAATGTACTTTAGTCAAGAATGAAATCCTCAATTATTCTACTTGTTCCTCTAAGTTTTTTTGGGGGGAGAGGGTTTAGGAATCACCTTGTCCACCTGTCTGTCAGTCCATCCGTTTGTTCATGCAATCGTGTCTGGGATATAACTTTGTAATGAAGAATCCTTGGAAGCCTATACTTGGTAAAAAGATTGCTTATGACCTGAAGGTATGAACTGGTTTTAAACCAAGGTCATTTCAGCAAGTTCAAGGTCTCTAGCAGAAAAAAAAAATGTTCAATTTGTGTCCAGTCCATTACTCTCAAATAGATAAGTGCAAGTTGAAATTTCAAATAAAAATTATTTGTGAGCTGAAGGTGTGTCATAATCTTGACCCAATTTCTTTGAGGTAAGTTCAGTCACTGATAGAAAAAGTGTAAAATTCATGTCAGGTCCATAATTTTTTAATGGAGAAACAATGTCCAGATTTCACTCAAAGATTACTAATTATGAACAATAGATGTTTCATTTATCAAAAAGGTTATTTTCGGCAAATTCAAGGTCACATTAAGAGAATGGTTTATGGACACTTTCAAAAAAATTGCAGCAGGCATGTAATTTTGTGAGCTCAGACACAGTACCTCTAATTTATTTTGTAAGCTGTCATTATAATCTGTAATAGTTATAATCAATTAATATTTCTTTTTTTTTTTAGATAACATGTGGAAGAGAAATGTTGAAACAGATAGAGGGAAGGTTAACACAGGCCATCAACCTATTCAACAGAAGACTGGAATGGCTGACTACAGAGAGCAGACGTTTGTTTGGAGTCATAGAAGAGAAGGCCATTACTATAGTCCTAGACATTCGCAATATGTCTCCACAGCAGTTTGACCAGTACAGAATAGCCTTAGAAACTGTCATTTATGAACAATTAACACAAATTTCAAAGTTCAATCTCATTAGGTGGGTAATATACATGTGCAAAAAAAAGAAATTTATATTTATTACGGTATTTACAAGTGCACAATAAAATTATCCCTAAGGTAACATATTTGATTTATTATTGCACTCAACAGAGTTGTTTTCATCTGACATTTGCTTTTGATAACCATTTTAAGTTTTAACCATAAAAAAAGAGACAAATCACAATTTTTTACTTTTGTAGGTCGGCAGATGATATGCAGTTGTATCATCCAGAATGTGTTCCTGTAACCCATGATACGATACAGGGAGCTGTTGATTGGTTGTGGGACTTGGACAGACTAGCCCCTGTGTCCAAAACAGCCACAGCTGAAGCTGTGCTTAAAGCTATGATGGATCAACATGTAGGTTTCAATTTTAAAACTGAAAACGGTAAATGTATTATATTTGGTTATAGCTAGTGTATTGTGATCTTTCAAATTATTTGGATGGGGATATTAAGCTCTGTGAAAATATTTGACCTAATATGTATTTATTTCTTTGTATTATAGAATGAAGCAGTATATTTGTTCACAGAGGGCAATTCCATCGATTCCTGCAAGGAACTCTTAAAAGAAAAGGTAGGGATGCAAAGTTAAGAAATTATGGATGGTTGTCCAGAATGTAGCATATAAAAATGTAACTTTGATAAACACAAATACCAAAAGAAAGGTGTCAAATGAAACAGATGAGCACTGTATATGAAATGTTGGTTCCATATGAAATGAGAATGTATCTTTTCTTTTTTTTCAGGTACAAGCTTGCCCAAGGAAGATTCCCCTTCATCTGGTGTCCTATAATTGTGACTCCTCTGATATAGTTAGGTTTCTGCGAGAATTTGCCAGAGGAATTGGATCAAAGTATGTAATGAATTTAAGACCTAATCTCCAGATTGAAAAATGGAACATTAAGAGTAAACATTAAAGTATGTGAATCATTCTTGCTTTCTTGGACATTGCATTTAATTTATGTCTTTTCAGGTTCCATGCATATGCAGTCATCATGGAAATGGATGCATATGAAGGACAGCCTTTAGATCCTAAAACAAACAAAGCCAACATTGTGCTAAAAAAGAAAACTTTTGGAGGTGTTCCTCCTGGAGCAGGGATGAGAGAGGATGTGATGCTAATTTTTGAAGAATTGGAAGAGGCAAGAAATGTCCGCTCCCAGATTCAAGCACTCACAGAAACAGTCCCTGAGCCCAAGATTCAAATTGGTAAAAATCTTTCACAGCTTTAAAAAAAAAGTTATCAAGATTCCAATAAAATAAAGTAATTGAACAATTAATGTTGCATTGGAACAAAATGTTTTGTTAGTACCATATATTATGACTGCTGAATCCACTATGCAATTTAAAAGAGAAATCGAATTTCAGAGTTTGCATTTGGCCATGCACATAACTAGCATGTCTTTAATAGGAAGTGAATGCAAGTCAGTTTGTTGACAATTTCATTTTCATTCCATTTTGTTTCATATGCATAGGGCTTTTTTAATAAACTAGAAAGAAAAAATATACCTGTATATCTATGTACTGAATGCTGAAAGTTTTCATCTATTTTAAAACAACACAAATTTAAATATCATTATGACTTGGAATTGATGAATAAAGCTGCATTACCCTCGGTAATTAAATGACATATTTGACCATCATCAACTTGCAATAATAATTGACTTCATAAATCTCCATGATTACTTGATGTGTTTGTTGTAATTTTAAGTTTAATAGAACATGTATCCTTAAAAATTTACAGGACCTTGGAATGCGAGGTCATACATACCTCGAGAAAAAAACAAAAGAGGTTATTACACAGTCATGTAAAATTCGCAAACACTGTCTTCTGCCTTTTCTGTTGTTTGCATGATAAATATTTTTTTCAGATTCTTTAATGCATGAAATTATTAAGACAGAAGTAGAAAAATAAAAAAAAAGTCTAGTTATCTAGAAATATTTTGCACCAGACTTTCTTGTAATTCAGTATTTGAAATGTCACAGTACAGTAGATTACAAATTTTACATAAATTATATGGTAATAGAAGCACATCTTTCTATATTGTTCTCTGATGGCAATTTCATATACATGTATTCTTAAAAGTGTATTTGTTTGAGGTTTAACACCTAGCCAGGGAAGATTTCAACAGACAAGTGTCTCTCAAGTCTATTGATTGTTAATTAAATACTCTGTGTAACAATTTATTTACCATTTTTTAGAAGTGTAACATGGTGTGTAAGGATGGAGGCATTAGATATATAACAAAAATGTACATCCATAACAACAGAAAAAAAAAACTTATTTTGACAAAATGCCCAAATTTCTGATTAAAGTCCAGTAAGAGCTATCAATTATGTATAACATGCATAAACCCATCCTCCATAAAATTCCCAAAATAGGTGATAGAGCTACTGCATTAACTTTTATGTTTTAGAGTCAAAAATCAGTAAGTGGGACTGCGAAAATGTTGAAGAACAATATATGGGAACAAAAGAATGGCTGAAGAGGTATGGATTGAGTGCTCGCAGGCTTGAACTTTTTGATGTGTTGGCATCTGTAGCTTTCAAACACCAGGATGGAGCTGTAGACATCAACATGAAACCAGGGGAAAATACTCAAACTGATGCTGTAAGTTATTAAAAAAAGTCATACTTTTCAAAATGTTGATTTATTGAATTAAAAAAGCCTGCACGACACATGGTGGTAGCTAGCATTTGGAATTCACAAAGCTTCAATTTAAATTTATACATAATTAAAATTATCATGTTTTATGATATTGCCAATATTGCCATTGCTGAAAATGAAGTTTATGTTAACATGATTTTTAAAGAGGATGACCTATTCATTTGGAAGTACATATATTATTATGTAAATGTTGAATATCAATCTTGTAGGTAAAACATACCAAGCTAGTGAATGCGAGATACTGTGATAGATTCCCCATTGTAAAGTGGAAAGATGGCCGAGTGGTTCATGTTCAAGTCACACCAGAACTTCATAGAGAATATGAAAGAAAGATGACCGTTGCCCTAAACTCTTTTCATCAAAGGTATGCCAAACACAGAGTCAATATTTTGATAATTTTCACTTACTATATGAATATACGAAGGCTTCATCATTAAATTGGGTATGTGATATTTTTTTGCCTCCTGGGTTTCCAGATATTGAATACATGTATACAACATGTGTTATGTACTGTACTGTAAAACTGTATTTTCCTCTATTTTCCTGTAGAATTGACTGGCTGAACAAGGGAAGCAGAGCACTGTTTGGAACTGTCATAGAAGATCAGATTTATATCCTTATAGACACTTCAGCATCCATGTTACCTAGTATTCAGTATCTCAAGGATAAACTCTTCTTACTTATGCAGGTATCCAGAAAGATTCTCACTTACAAGAAATGCGGTTCTGATACATGTATTAAATTACAGTGACTGTCACCATTACAGCAAATGTGTTAGAAAAGTTGTGTAAAGTATCCTGAAATAGATAATCAGCCCTTTTAGGAAGTATTTATACAAGTATTTGCATGAATCGTAAATGTTTAATTCAGCCTTAATAATCATTCTTATCCACAACTGTTTTAATTCAATATGGGCATACTTGTACAATGTCATACTGTACTGATTCATAGTGTATGCCTATCAATAATCTGTCTATAGGAACAAATAAGACACAAGAAGAAGTTCAACCTGATTTCCTACAACTCCAAAGCCACGGCCTGGCAGAATCGGTTGGTGGATATATCAGAGCTGAGTCTAAAAGGAGCCTGGAAGTGGATCCAGGGTCTGTCATGCTGGGGCTCCACCAACACTTATGCTGCTCTACAGCATGCATTATCTGACCCTGGCACTCAGGCTATATACCTACTCACTGATGGAAGACCAGATCAGGTAGCACTGTAGTACATTTATTTTCTGAAAATATAAGTAAATATTTCTTCTTTCAATTAACTGTTAAAAATGTTCATTTTATCAAAGAACTTTATTCATGCATCCACATTCAAAGGTGCACTGAATATTTTGCATTTGGATTGGACTCATTGCATGCTTATCTTCTGTTATAGCCACCTAAATCCATCATTGCTCAAGTTCAGATGCATCATTCTGTTCCTGTTCATGCCATTTCCTTTAACTGCAATGATAAGGAGGCTAATGAATTCTTGTTTGACCTTGCCAAAGCCACAGGTGGACGATATCATTACTTCTCAGAAAAAGGCAAGGACCCAGACCAGCCAGAATCATGGGAGGTAATCCATTAACTATTTTTGGAAGTCTGTGAGAATGTATATATATATAAATTGTCAGAGTTATTTCCCTTGAAATCTTGAAATGTTGATCAAGTTTTTAGTTTTAATAAATACATGTTGAAATTGAAATTTAGCTCTGTATATTCTCTCCACTGGTGGTATCACTTGTATGTTATGTGTTTATTAAATGTACAATGTTGTATTAATCATAAAAAAGTGTTAATCCATAAGGTATATCTTTCAGAGTGAAGATATACGCCACATCAAAGATGAGATTCAGAGAGGATTAGAGGCTTTGGACAAAGTGGAGGAATTAAGAGATGAATGCTCCAATCTGTCTTACAAAAAAGAGGTATCCGAGATGAAGAAATGCAGTAGGTACTGAATATTGTCTTTTGATATCAATAAAATATTTTTCTGTTTTATATATATGTGTAACTTGATGAATAGAGAAATAAGAATTAGTTAATTCAGTAGATCAAGTATATAATAACTTGTTCCACAGCAGTTTTATGTTGTAAATTTTGAATTTTAAGAAATGTAATATTGTTACATTGACAGAGATCACGTGTTATCCAATACTGACAGAACCTCAGCAGTCCCTCCCATGGACACCAAAGACCTGTACAGATCTACCCCATCTCCTCCTCCTAGACCTAAGAGCGCTCCTCCCGTTCAGTCCTTCAGACACACTCCTACTCCCCCTAAATCTCCCAGACATTCAGAGCCCTCAGATCTTCACCCAACCCCCTCCTCTGGGAGACCACAGACTGCTCGACTGCGGTCCTCTAGGCCCCAGAGCTCAAAGTCGGCATCCTCCAAAAACGCTCTTAGTGCCAGTGAGTCCATATATAAGTTGCTTCATGTCTGTTCAGAATGATTAATTTCACTGCCAAAAAATATGTTCACAGCATTTGTGTATGTGTACAATTTTTCACCAGTGAACTGTTTTCACCAAATTTTTTAAATTGTAAAGTTTATTCTTAGTTTCCTTTGCAAAAGAATTCAGGAACTCTTTTTAATAATAAAGAGCAATCATATAAAATAGGCAAATACGAGTCATTGTTAATACAGATTCTGATACTGTCACTTTATTTAATAATGTTGAGAGTAATGCTGGTTTTGTGCAGATGAAAATCAGCTGTCTATTAGACATCTAAGATCAGGTATCAGCTGTTCAATGCTTGCACTGTCATAACTTCTGTTACCTGCCTAATTCATTTGAAATTTAAAAAAAAAGTTAATACAGCTTCCAGAATAAATTTCAATATTTATACTCATTTTTAGCTCACCTGAGCCGAAGGCTCAAGTGAGCTTTTCTGATCACATTTTGTCTGTAGTCCGTCTGTCCGTCTGTAAACTTTTCACATTTTCGACTTCTTCTCAAGAACCACTGGGCCAATTTCAACCAAACTTGCCACAAAGTATCCTTGGGTAAAGGGGATTCAAGTTTGTTCAAATGAAGGGCCACGCCTTCTTCCAAGGGGAGATAATTAAGAATTTGTGAAAAATTAATGGCATCATTAAAAAATCTTCTTCTCAAGAACCACTGTGCTTGAAAACATGAAACTTATGTGGAAGCATCCTCAGGTAGTGTAGATTCAAGTTTGTTCAAATCATGACCCCCGGGGCTAGGGTGGGGCCGCAATGGGCGATAGAAGTTTTACATAGGAAATATACAGGAAAAATCTTTAAAAATCTTCTTCTCAAGAACAGCAAAGCCATAATTGGTCATATTTATATGGTAGCATCCTCAGATAGTGTACATTCAAGTTTGTTCAAATCATGACCCCCGGGGGTCGGGTGGGGCCACAATGGGAGATCAAAGTTTTACATAGGAATATATAGGAAAAATCTTTAAAAATCTTCTTCTCAAGAACAACAAAGCCATAATTGGTCATATTTACATGGAAGCATTCTCAGGTAGTGTAGATTCAAATTTCTTCAAATCATGACCCCCGGGGGTCGGGTGGGACCACAATGGGCGATCAAAGTTTTACATAGGAATATATAGGAAAAATCTTTAAAAATCTTCTTCTCAAGAACAGCAAAGCCATGATTGGTCATATTTATATGGTAGCATCCTCAGATAGTGTACATTCAAATTTGTTCAAATCATGACCCCCGGGGATCGGGTGGGGCCACAATGGGCGATCAAAGTTTTACATAGGAACACATAGTAAAAATCTTCTTCTCAAGAACAGCAAAGCCATGATTGGTCATATTTATATGGTAGCATCCTCAGATAGTGTACATTCAAATTTGTTCAAATCATGACCCCCGGGGGTCGGGTGGGGCCACAATGGGCGATCAAAGTTTTACATAGGAACACATAGTAAAAATTCTAAAAAAAAAAAAAAAAAAAAAAAAAAAAAAGTAATTTGTTAAGAATAGCAAAGCCATGATTGGTCATATTTATATGGTAGCATCCTCAGATAGTGTACATACAAATTTGTTCGAATCATGACCCCCGGGGGTAGGGTGGGGCCACAATGGGCGATCAAAGTTTTACATTGGAACACATAGTAAAAATCTTTAAAAAAAACAATTTGTTAAGAATAGCAAAGCCATGATTGGTCATATTTATATGGAAGCATTCTTAGATAGTGTACATTCAAGTTTGTTCAAACATGACCCCTGGGGATCGGGTGGGGCCACAATGGGTGATCAAAGTTTTACATAGGAATACATAGGTTAAATCTTTAAAAATCTTCTACTCGAGAACAGCAAAGCCATGATTGGTCATATTTAAATGGAAGCATCCTCAGATAATGTAGATTCAAATTTGTTCAATTCCTGACACCCCCCCCCCCCCAACCACTTTTATATTTAAACTTTTCAACCTTTCAAGATTGAAATGATTTCTGCTTTTTCCTAGCCATAGTGCTCAGGTGAGCGATGTGGCCCCTGGGCCTCTTGTTTTCAAAAGTTCATCTTACCAAATATGCAGTCAAAATAAAGTTTTACTCACTTAACCAGGTATTTAAGAGTTATTTTCAAATTCACAGTTTATAAAAGAAAAATGATCCGACATATTGGTATGTCTTACACATATGTTACCATTCTGCATTTATATATACCTATATATATGTTCATACATTTTACCCTCTTTCCAGTTTTAGAAGAAAGCTTTAAATTTGTAACTCAGCTATAGTTTTTAATTTTACTGTGATTTAACAGTTCTAAAACAATCATACAGATAAAACAAGCATATATTTGAATTGTCACAGATTTTTTTTTTGCATGTGGTGTGCTTGAGAACATTAACCAGATTGAGTTAACAGCCTTAATTTTTTTTTGTTGATAAAATGGATGCAGTGGGAGTTTGAGAAATAAGTGCAATGTATACATTTTATAATACATGTACATATGTAGTGTCAGTGATAGAATAACAGAAAGTCAGCTTCTGGTAGACATACCGGTACTTTTCTCCTTGTGTGATTAATTTTCACTATGTACGTGTACACAAATTTTCCATGGAAATTTGTGACAATGTATTTAAATTACATTTAAGAAATACAATGACTGTCCAAGAAATTCTACCTGCAGATTGAACAGAAATTGTGATTCCATGAATGGATACCATTGACAACCACTTTTAATTAAGAAACGATACACTTAACACTTAAGAATAATTATTACAATTTCAGATGAAATTGTTATGAGAAATGAAAATACATACACACTTTGCTATTTCTACATTTATATTTCTTTTAAGTCATAATGCATGTTCTGTTGGACATTTGTATGCATGTGTTAAAAATATTGCATGACAAAATAGGGTACAGCTCTTTTGGACATTATGTTTGCTTACCCATATACATGTATGATATGTATACATCCCTGTAAAAGTCAATTGACAATACATATTGACCATTATTTATATACTTTTGATCACAATTTTATTTTTATTTTATTTGTGCCTATATTTTGTATTGATTATATTTATTTAAATAATGTTAGGTCACACTAAAACCAGCATGCTACGCACTTTGAACAGCAGTGGACGTTTTTCACCCAACGAATGGCTTTTGCCAGAAACCAGAGCCTTGTTTGAAAAGCAAGCTGAGAAACAGAGACAGTTGGCCATAGGTATGACATTCACATAGTTATTAATTTTACAAATATTCTATAATGGCAGTCGTCATAATGTCAGTGTGTATATAGGCACACATGTGCACACCCATGTACCGGTACATATTTTTGCAGTAGTAATGAACCAAACTAACTGCATAAAAAATGAGAAAAAAATAAAGCTTAATATTATACTTTCATGTAAATTGGTTGAAATTGATTCGTGGTAAAACATTTGTTAAAAAACACTGTTACCCTCTGAATAATGAAACCATACCCTTCAGCATGATGAAATGTAGCTGTATACAGTCAACATATATTACTTGATGATGGGCAATATTAAAAAAAAGTTTACTGTACGGAATCAATGTACACACTGTTCACTGTTATTCTAATTTTATAAAACATTCAGTATAATATAATAAATACTGCATGTAGTTGAAGGTAACATTAAAAATTTTCTGCACCTCTGTTGACAATGGTTTTCTTGGGGTGAAAATTTTCAATGTTACCCCTAACTACATGCAGTATTTATATATTACTGCATTATTATACTGCCCAGTGGTTGACATAGGTTTGCTTTCAATTAATCTGACATTGTGGGGATCAAATATTTCTAGCAAATTTAAAGATTTATTAAAGTTCTTTCCTCAGTGATTTCTTTTAATATCAGTTGCACCTTCAGAATTCATTACTTTGGTATAATTCATGCCAACTGCATTGCTACATAAATACCTGATAGATGATTTTACTATCTGAGGTAGTCTCATTCCTTCTTAGATCATACATGGGCAATTGGTGTCTGAATTGCATGAATTTTACTACTCTACTTTCATTACTTTTTAGAATCTGTATACTTTTTTAAATTTATATTTCAATGATAATGCTTGCTTAATGCATTGATTGACTCTTGCTTTCAGTTCCACAGAAGTTTAACCTATTCCCTATTATGCTCAATGTAGATGAACATGACTTTGATACATAGTAGATTAGAGGTCTGTGGCACCCTGGGTCAATCCTTGGTGTCTGCATTCTGTAAAATCACTTATTTCTGTGGGGGTCAAATTTTTCATGGTTTGAGGAGATATTATTAGTTCATTGGGATTTCATTTTGTGGTTGAAAAAATGTTGAGTTCCATATTTGAAATTTTACATTTCATAAAGGACATGAATTCGTGGGTCCGGTCTCTTCATACCACAGAAACAATGAAAATTTAATCCCCATGAAAATTAGTTATTCTGACACAGTATTTTCATCAGAACCATGAAACAGACAAAATGTATTCTTTCTTGAAACTAAATTGTTCTCAAATCAAATCAAAAATTTTAAAATTTTCTGACACATTTCTGTGCAATGCCAGTACACTGCTCAGATACTAGTAATCTGATTAATTTTAAAATACAAATACATATTTTGAAATTTTGTACAAGTACTCTGAATGTCTTTGGCTGGCTTGACACATTAATTGACACAGGTACTACTGTACCCTTTAATTAGATTTATCAGATATTAAACTACCATAATTTTGGGAGAGATATCCCTCAATCTCTCTGTCTTTTCTTTAAGCACAATTGATGTATATTTGGACAAAGGTAGTGGGGATATAATCAATCAAAACTTCAACTCATCCTTTTAGGTGGAAGTGAATCTTAAAACTCAAATGAATATGACTTGCAAAGTGAAAGGCATACCTGGTATATAAGCATTTTCTCCCTTAGATGAAAACCAGTTCAAAATTCTGTTGTACGTTAGTGTATATAGATACATGTCATTTACCTCTTCCTTTCTGGTATTTTATAACATGAATGCTTTTATCTTTAGTTTTACAGAGGTTCAATATGTCCCCATATGTGGTGGATCCCAATGGTATATAACAACCATTCAGTTTGTAACCTGCTTTAACTACTAGTTATTGAAAAAGTATTTAACCTCTGAAGCATTTAACATATGTGTTACTGTTTTATTGGGGGAAAAAAATTAAGTTTAAAGAAAACTAGTACGAAAAACTAGCAAGAAAGCCTAAATGCATCAACACAATTTTTAATAAAAAGCTTTTCACACACATGATTATTATTTACATATTTATTGAAATAAATGCTTTTTAAAGCAATTAGGAATACCTGTATTGTGCTATTCAGATTCAATACTTGTACACCTATTCATGCATAATGTATCAATTAACAAATTATGCATTTTTGGCAAGCACTTGCAGCTGGGCTGACCATGTATATGAAGTATACAAATAAAAGACTTTGCATCGAGATTTTATGAGTTACATGTATATATGCAGAACATAAAAAATGAAATAATATTACTATGAAGAATTCTTTAAAATTGTACGTGAACAACTTTGTGTTAATTAATTGTTCTGTTAATGATTGTTGTAATATTTCAGTTTCCTATAACAATTTAATGTTGAGAACATTAATTCTTTTGTTTCATTAACTCAGTTTTGAATTAGATTAATGAACTGTGGTGATTGAGTGAATTAACTCTGCTAATGATTAATTTTAAAAAGTTCAATTCATCATTGTTAATTATGAATATTATAAGTAAATGTTTAAAAAATATATATAATGTAGCACAGGTTAGTGTACATGTAGCTCAGTGTTATACTTATAAAAACATATATAATTAGCTTATAAATATGTCTGTCACTTGAAACCTGCAGATGGTGATTATGTGAAAAAAGTTATGTTTAGGTAATAATCAACCTTGGGCCGGGTTTTGAGAGGGGAGGGGGGTTATCCTATGATATGTCTCATATGTTAATAAATGTTTTGTATTCTAGTACATGTATGTGTTATAATAGATGTTGAAAATATCATGTGAACTAAGTGTTAGAACAGCTAGAGTATTTAGGGATAGGGTGCAGAATAAGGCTATGTTCTTAAATTTAATTAACTTGCTAAACTTCTTTTATACATATACCATTTATTTCACAGGATTCACAAATGTTTATTTTACAAAAAGAATTTTCTGTTTCGGTGTTCCTAAAATATGCCGAAGTTTTTCATGTACATATTTCACTAAAGACTTGTATGTTGTACCATATTCTGAGCGATATTGTACATGTGATATGATAATGTAAACTCCTTTGTACCTGAAGTGCTGAATATTTTTTTTTAGTTTTGAGAGAATAAAGTTTTATTTTTGTTTTGGAATTTCAGTAATGCATTTCATATAGATATTTTTATACTAAATAGTTTTTGATTGTGAATTGGCATAGTTTTCTATAAACTTGTTTAAAATTTCATTGGTCAGGAGGTAAAACTTTTTCAGCATTAAGTTGTAGATGTTGGCCTGAATTGTCTCCCATTTATTGTAGAGACAGAAAAAGAAAAGAGCAAACGATTGAAGGTGAAGAGAGTCATTAGGTATTGGTTTATATCTTTTCTATATTTTCATTTTTATCTATATAATTTATGGAAAATCATTTGAGTAAGCAAATAAATCATTTAAAGTTTAATTAAAGATAACAAAGATAATTTCAAACTTATCTCTCATTGAAATGCTCACTGTAGGTCCAAGGAAATGTCATCCAAGATGTGGCTGAGCAAAAATGGACTAGTGGCCAAGAAATTGACCATACTGGATGCCCTTTCACCGACAATGGTCCCCCACAAAACAAAATATGTACCCATCTTGGATAAACATGTTGTTGCCAAAGTTTTTGATGAAGTAAGTTATTTCTTACTCTTGTCTTCTTTGATATTTGAAAAAAAAACTTAAACTGATTAAAAGAAAATCCTGTTTTCCTAAAGTAATGTTTTTATTAACATTTTTCTTGTGGAGAACTTACTCTATCTCAATTGGTAAATGTATGAAAAGTTTTGTGATGCATAATGTATAAAATCAAACTAAAAAATTGGTACATGTGCAATGTTGTTTTTTTTTTTTATAATGTTTTGTTTCAATTCCAACGTCTATTTAAAACATATAATTATATTGTTGTAATAGATATCCTTCATGCAAGATATTGTAAGTCTATGCTTTCTTTAGATACTGCCTGTAGCCCATGTGTCTAGCAGGACAAAACAACAGATAACTTTGGTCAATCCTATTGCTGTGGATCTGGAAGGCTACAAAAAGAAAGTGCGGAAATGTGTAGATCAGTACAAGGCGTGAGTAGTTTCCATAGTAACATGATACATTGCCCCATAAAATATACATTTGTTACATAAATGCTAAGATTTTGAATAGTATTCTTTAGGGTAAAAGTGCTTGCATGTTAAAGTTATAATTATGCCCTTTTCCTACAAAGATTACATAGCTTATTTTTGATATTTCATAGGAGATTGAATAGAATTGTGTGGAATGCGCTGCCTGAATCTGCAAAGGCTGAGTAAGTGTGGGAGATTTTGAACATTGTAGAATTTGGTAATTGTATGTGAGAGGTCTTTTAAATGAAGAATTTATTTTAAAAATAAATTAATCATTTTGTTTGGTGTTGTTAAATTGAAATAACATTGTAAAACTCTTTCAGATTTGATTCAGAGGAACCTGTATCATTTGAAGACAACAAATTAAAATTAATGAAAGCCCTAGACAATGCTGGATGCCCAGTCAGAGAGCAAGACATATTGCTACTGGAAAAAGAAATTAAAAGAGGAGAAAAGTACATTGAGCAGGCAGAAGACTTACGACGCGCTTCTGATCCGAACAGACAGGAGAGTTTTGATGACTTGGTGAGGAATCGCAGCAGACAGAGCAGCAGAAGTTCTTCATCCAGGAGCAGTAGAAGCAGCAGACACAGCAGTGCTAGCAGCAGAAGCAGTAGGAGCAGTAGGGGTAGTAGAAGCAGACGCTCCCGTAGTGAGAGTCCTAGAAGTCCAAGGAGTAGGACTCCAAGCAGAAGTCCTAGTCCTGCTAGGAGTAACAAAGATGAGGATGAACTTAATGTGTATGATGATAAAGCCAGCATTGCGTCCAGTTTGACCGTGAACTCCAATCCTGATGAAGAGGTCAGACCTTAATAAGTAGTACTGCATCCCATAGTGACCTTGTTTACCAAATATTATTCTATACATGCATGGGCTACATGTATACATGTATATATATATGTGTATGTTTTTATAGCATGGGCTTTTGCTATGATATGTATACATTAGTATTGCAAATTAGTATATTAACAATATGTTGTGGTGATCAAGACTTTTGAATCAATTACATGTATATGAAACAAAGATAAAAGTAGTAATTGCTCAAGTATTGTATTAAAATTGTCCTTGCTTTCCGGGACATAACTTTTTCAAATGATACTGTTGTGTGGAATAAGATTGAAAACTTGAAAGGTATGTTTAGAATGTCAAAATAATTGCAAGTTTTCATCATCAATCATTTTAATGAGGATCATGGATTATCAATCAATCTCAATTTTAAGTGTCCTTTTTGGAATACTTCCAAGGATGATCAAAAGAGAATTTTCATCACTGAATAGCTTCATTCTCTTTTAAGTTTATTATTAAAAAAGAAAGATTCTGATGGATAAAGTTTGAGTGCACAAAACTCTTACGAGGAAAAAAAATCCCCAAAATCAAAATAGGTAAAAATTCATCCTGAAGTAATGATTATTTAAAGAATCAGTTTTATTTTGAAACTATTTTTGAATTTATCATAAAGCAGATATATTATTGTTAGAGCAGTAGGGTAATTATCTGTATGATACATTTGTAATACATGCAAGCATGCTCAGTAGATATGTACAGACTAGTCGCTTTCACAACTTGATCAGTATTATGTTTACCCAAGAGCTCACCTTTGTGGAACTTTTGAAAGTCCTATATATATATACCAGATATTCAATATTTTTATGCATAATGATCTGTATTTTTACAAGTATTGGTGGTACATGAAAATTGTATCTGTATGCAAATTGAATGTTGCAGAAGCTGCACATGTTGCCTGTGATAATTGTTGTTAAAGTGTTTATATAACACTTTTATTTGTTATCTATTAGATGTAAATGTTTTCATCATGTGAATCTTAGAAAAAGACTAATTTTAGTTTCTCTTCTCTCCTCTATATACATTTTTTTTTTAAATCATTCATTTATTTATTTATTTTTTACACAATTTAGTTTTCCAGATATACTATTACTTTTTTTCTTTCCATAAACAAGTACTAGTTTTCCTTTTTCAATAGATTTTACAGCAATTTGGGAAATATTTTAATAGTGTTTTTCATCCTTTGTCAAAGTTAGCTTTTTATCATTGTATGATGATAACATTCTACATTGGCATAGTACAAACTGGTGTAGATGTTTCTATTTGCACTGTGAAGGAATAAAATTATGAAAATTAATTTAAATTCCCTATCATTTATATGTCACATTTGTGTAAAAAAAAATACATTCTTCTTCTCTCCAGAATTCAGTGCCCAAGATGCTGAATCATGATGTTGGAAATTTTTAAATTTCCTATCTTCAAATATGACACACTTTAGAGAATTTGAAAAGATTTGAAGAAAAAAAAACACTACTAGTATGTGAACTGTCAACAAAAATGGAATGAATTGAATTCAATAGTTGATGGTAATTTAAGATTGGGAATTTGCATACTTTTAAGAAAGAACCTGAAGCAAACTCAAAACTTTCAGTCTCAGTGTTCACTTTTTCAGACCCTCCACCTTTAACAGATTGAATTGCATTACTCATATTTTATTGTGTATGTAATGCATAAATATTTTTTAAAGGGTTTGTGAGTGTACATTGGTCTTTTACATGTATTCATGGGATGGTGGGCAAAGGACATTTGTGTAAATTTTCCTGTATTAGGTATAAGGATATACAAGGTATGCTCCAAGGAAAAGGGAACATAATTTGCTCAAATGCAGATAGTTTTTACTCCTACAAATTAAGAAAGAGAGTACATGTATTGTGCAATGGAGACAATCTGACAGATAAAATTAAAATTGTTCAATGATTTTCTGGCCACTAAAACGCACTACGATTGAAAATCTTCAATTATTGTTTTTAAACAAGTTACATGTGTACGTGTAGGATTTATCATACAAGATTGTGTATGCGGTATTCTTATGTAAATATTGGTCATCTAGCAAAAACGGTATTTCAAATAGCCTTCAACATTGCACACACATATTTATGCTCTTTTCTTTTTTGGTCAACCACAAAATAAAACAAGAGGCCCATGGGCCACAATGCTCACCTGAGCACATTGGCTAGGAACAAAGCACAAATCAGTTCAGTATTGAGAAGTTTACATGGGGGGGGGGGGGGGGGGCTTGAATTTCAAACTACCTTAGGATGCTTCCATATCAATATAAGAAATGGCTTTTCTGTTCTTGAGCGAAAGATTTTTTCCTATATATATTTTTTTTTTGTAAAACAATGTCACCAAATTTTCACTATTTCTGAATTCGCTCCCCTTGAATGAGGGCGTGTCCATTTGTATAAACTTGAATCCCCTTTATCCACCGATGCTTTGTGAAAAGTTTGGTTGAAATTGGTCCATTGGTTCCGGAGAAGAAGTCGAAAATGTGAAAGCTAGTCAGGCGGACAGACAGACATCACGACAGACGGACTACAGACAAAATGTGATCAGAAAAGCTCACTTGAGCTTTCAGCTCAGGTGAGCTAACTAGATCGAGGTACTGTGAACAATGAGCTCACAAAATGATTCCCTATTTGATTATAATGGCAAAGTCTGTGTTTAGGCTATTGGAAAGCCCAAATATGTGTCCGATCAAAACGTAAAAAAGGAAGTGGAAAATGGTTCTATGTAATAAATATTCTGAAAAAGTCTAATTAAAGAAGATGGGTGAACAAGGTGTGCAGAATGCCTAAAGCTTCAGATATTAATAAAATCATATTCAATTTGTGAATTAAGTATTTAAAATAAAGTTCTCATTATTGAAATTTATGAAATTATGATTAACAAAACTTTTCTGAGAAAAAAGATCTCGGAAAAAATTATTATTTTATTAAAAAAATAAAATGGTATTCGTGGGATTCGAACCCCTATCAATAAAAATCCGGGGTATCATATTCTTTTGAGACTAACACGCTAACCACTACGCCACGCAGCTCCTGACGAAATATGGCATTTAAATCATGTTTGTGATATGACCCTTGACTTAATGGACTTCAAGTATTTCTCGGAAAGATGCGAATGCTTTGTCATAAAAGTGTACTTTTAAGGTATAGTGGGTCTTTGCTCCATGTTTTTGTTAACCAAAAAATGTATATTTTTATGCAAACTTTTAGGATCAACTTTCAAAAAAAAATGGAGCGAAGACCCACTCATATCGAAAAATTTTGTTAAAGTGTGAGAAAATGATCCTTTTTGTCCTCTTTAGTGTGTGTATGCTATTTCGTAGGCAAATAATTTCAGTCTTTGTGAGATTTTTGTAAATTGTAGAGATTTAGCATAAAATATACTTTAATGGTAGATGAAATATCAAAGAAATCTTTTATATAATTGAGATTTTATTTTTCACTTCACGTTTGTCGCACTATAGGCACTTCGCCCGCCTTGTTCACCTATCTTCTTTCTTCTGCGGTAAATTCGAATAAGAGATGTGTATCCCCATTGTAGCGTAAAAGACGGGCGGACAGACATTCACCTCGATCATCACTAAATATACCCTCGCTTTTCAAGTCGGGGGGGGGGGGGTATTAAAGGAAGGGATGTCTGTATTTTGTATTCTTTGAACCCAAGTCACCAAACATTATATTGAATTTCATTGTTTGGAATTTCCTTAGAGAAAGCCCATTCTTTTTTAAATGAATGTGTCTAGTATACTAAAATCCCGTATTACACAGTATGATTTTGACTTCTCGTCTCGAGTGAATTATTGCCTCTTCATCAAAAAGATACGAGTTTATGTTTTCATCTGTTTGTCCATCGCTCTCGTTTTCTTCAGTAAATTTCAAAAAAAGTTTAAACGGATTTCAATGAGATTTCGGGGAAAGGGTGCATGTGTCCTAGCACAAGTTACTTGGCCAAGCTTAATATCAAATTTCTGTCCATTGCATCCTATTGAAAGAAAATGTCACGGTTCCGTTGTAACAAAGACTCTATTATTATTATAAGATACTTCATTGAAATACATGTGAGCAACTTGTTCCAATCATAGATCTGCAGCACATTTTACAGTCTGAAGAACAAGCCCATCGTCAGGCTCACATTGGCACCCCTCTCCTCAACACTTACACGAAGGTCTATTCACTAAATCAGTCTAGAAAATCTTTCTGTGAATAGTGAACAATCAAATGGCGGAGATGAGTGGGCAGCTTTTGTATCTTTGTTTGTTTGTTTTTAATGTTTCAAAGAAGTTTTGTTACCTTCCTCTCAATAATTTTGCAGAACGTCCACTGAAGTATGGTTAAAATGTTAAAAGTCCCACCTTTATTCTTCAATATTAAGTATATTTGAAAACAGGTGAAAAGTACATTATTTCATTTAATATGTAAGATTAATTATGTTTCGCGCTTATTTAAACAAAGATGACTCCTTACTTTGTTAAATACAAAAAGATGACTCCATTACTTTGTTAACTTAATTTGAATGCAAATAAACATCTTATTAAATATATTAATCCTTTTTGCCGAGCTTCATATTTATGTATACATTATGACAGGGATAAAACAATATCAGCCTGAAGGTACTGAGAATCGACTTTCTCGATTGAATTTTTGTAATTTCAAAATAATTATAATTGTCCGATTCCCACTAGCTGTCTTCCCCCCGTCTGTCCGCCTACACTGTATCACTTTGTGTTAAGTATGAAGTTTTAAACTATTCAAGGTAGTTTTGTCAAACTTTCAACATAGATATACAAATGTATAAAATTCAATAAAAATAAGGGAGTGGATTGGTGTCACTCAAAATCCTATGTCTGTGGGGAGGAAGGGGGAGGGTCCAACTTTTTCGACTAGGCCTATAGTGAAATGAAAAATGTTGGATACTTTAACATGGTAGGATTTGACCATACTGTAACAAAA